GGATCACCTGATGGTAAGTGATTACCGTCGCCCATGGACACCTGCAACACCGGAGGGGCTACAAGCGCGCTGCCAACCTTAGAGGGAAGGGTTGAGGGGTAGAGGGAAGGGAATAGGGAGGGGTTGGGCCTCCGGTACCCTCACTCACACGACGAAACACAACGCAAGCGTTGCTTCACGTCGGTTTTCTGTGAGGCCGTGGTATCACTCCGGTCGAGCCGGCCCATTCATGCCGAAACGTGGTATACAGTAATGTCGGCAGCGAACACTTCAAATCTTACTGGTAATCAATCGGACAAGGAAAATGATTCTGATGGACCGTTTGAATAGGCAAAACCTCATGTGTCTAGGCTAGAAGCAAAAGTATTCGCTCGTAATTATAAAAAAGGTGAAAAATGCGTATGACAATTTGCTTAAGACTATCAATAATTTGTATTGTAAATTAATGTAAACGAATAAAAATTTTATGTTAATTATCTTTGTTTTGTTTGTCTATCTCTGACGTTGTTATTATTATTTAGTTGTGAGATTGTTGGCCACACGGGATTGTCCATTAGAAATCCCGGGAAGGTCCACATTAATATCAACATTTCGATGCAAGTACATAAATAACTCTACCTAATTCCGACCTCTGAATTGATGATAAATAAAAGAATAAGTTTCCAAGATTTTAGATAGGTACTCCAATGTAAGTTGACCTCAATTATATATGACAAATATTTTAGTGTCCTGGGTACACGAGTAACTTCTCGGTCTCATCTAAAACGAGAGATGACACCGTAAGGATTTAGGTGAATAGGCCTACAAGAACCCCCTAGGCAACTTACTACCGGGTGCGTTCACAAAGAAGAGTCCTACTCATCCCCTGTTGGATGTTAGGTAAGAAAGACAGGATACGATTGCCTACATGATGCCTACAGTACATAAAATACATAGTCCTCGATTTATTTTTCAACATTACAATCCCACCTTGGATACTAGATACTATATTCTTTTCACGTATTTCTCTATAAGATAAATAAAAAACAAATACATGTTTTTTATAAAAAAGTTAATTTTAAAATAACTGGAAAAAATATCTTTGTTGCTTTCTAAAATTATTAAAGAAATTGCCTTATATTTCCGGGAAAATAACACATAGTGCACACAACAGAACAACCATAAACATCCACACTGTTTGATAATCTATAAAATTCTTTCGTCTATTTGATATTTGGAATAAAATCCTTATGTCAAAAATGGTATATAGTTCGCTCCGTTCATTGAAACCGTTAGTGTTGTCACCCAAAAAAATAATTACCCATGTCAATGTATAGCGAAAAAATGACTCATTGTGCTGGCAACAAATTGGCTAGTGGTTAAATTTGGCTATGGTTTAATTTGGCATCAAAAAACGAAATAGCGAGTTAACAATTTGTTAATGTTTTAACTATAGTCAAGTTAACAAATGGTGAAATGACATTTGACTACGGATCAAAAAACTGACCCTTAATAGTTTTTAGCTACTATTTTTCTTTTTTTTTGGACATTCAAATCGCTTTACTTTAAAATTGGTATTTTCAGTCTTCACTGGAAATACATACAGGTCAGAGTCATGCAATATTACGCAAGTATGAGGATCGATGTAAATCTGATGGAGCTCAGTCAAGCGCCTTACGGAAGTATATGTTACTCGTAGTACACGATTTCCGTTCCGTTTGGGGCACAGGAGAAACCTGAAGGACGCAATGTGTATTTTACTGTCGATCGCAAGGCTCATGCATTATCAAGTTGAAGCATTCACTGTCATGGAAATTATTTTGAGCTCTCAGAGACTTCATACCGCAAGCGTTTGATTTCAGAGAATTCCTGTAGATAGCTTAGCTGCTGATCGTAACATAAATGCAGTCTGAAATTTTCTTTGATAGAGCAATGCGCTCGAATTTTTAAAGAAATGTCTCTTGAAGAATGTTCAAAACACTGATAAGTTTGTCAGCGATTTCTTCCAGACAAACTAGCATTAGCTGCACCAAAAAATAATAGATTTTACATACTACTAGACAGCTAAACAAATAACAATTTGACAAAAATAAAAACAAACGATACCTTTTGTATGACCAAAATCCCAGAAATAGAAGATAAAAGAAAAGAGGGAAGTGAGAAAAAATAGAAAAATAACTTTCGTGCTTCAGAATGCAAGTCAAGCCGTTGATCGTTAACCCCCACCACTTCGTATTGGACCTGCGTAGTGGTTAATGGACCATTGATTCTATTCGATCCCATCCACAGGAAAAAAATAATTTATCTCATAAACTTTCCCACGCAGACGAAGTCGCAAGAACAGCTAATTAATTATAAATATTAACCAACATCACACACGTTACGCAGATTACAAGATAGGTGGCTAAAGATATCGTATTATGAAGTATCTGAGACAACGAAGATACGACAACAGCCAATACCGGAGATTAATCTTAGAAAATTTCATTTTCTACATTTATTCGACCGGAAATTGAACTCGAGACTTTGAAATCATCGTTGTATAGAAGTATATAATATAACTCAACATGCGAGTGTAGGGCTGATTGGTCGGCTTTAACTATTATCTAGTGCAATCAATACCTTTGGTTTGGCATGCCTCTCATTAGCAACAAAAGAAATTTCTTTTCAGAGATTCTTTTCATATTATAAAATTTAAAATTCAGTGTTTTTTAAATAAAAAATCCATATTTCAGCCACAGTTTATTCTGTGGTTCTACTAGCTCAGACCGAAATAAGTCGGTTCGTTCCATGCGCTTTAACAGAATTATGTAGAGTTTATTTTTAATTTAATGTTATTTTATTATATAATTAAAAATTCGGCTATTATAGCTATTAAGCTTTAACGAATTCGGCTATTATAATATTATATTTCTAATATATGAATATTGATGCTTTGAACTCTGAGCTGGCAACAATAGAAATATGAATTGACATGGCGTGTATCTCAAAATTCACTCATTATTCAACTATTTTTGAACAAATATATAGCTAATGTAATATATAAGTTTCTACAGTTAAATATATTGTAATATATCTAGACTAGACTAGACTAAATATTTCGGGTGTTCCCCGTCATATGAACGCGAAGTACTAACGGTTTTATTTTCTTACAATTTAAGGCTTATGTTCACGTAATAAGGTTTAATACGTTACTGGGAATCCTCGCACGCACATTACTTTTTTATATTTCTTTCATAAATAAACATATTTTAAATAAATCAAACTCGATCTTTATTTTACACTTTTGGTTTAAAAGAGAAATATTAAAATAAAACTAGCAGCTTAAATATGCGTGGTATATATCAGATAAATATCGAATATTTAGATATTTATTACAAATAACGGATTTTTGCGAAATCTAGTCGAGACTCCTTGCCTTAGTGACAGACAGGCGGAATGGAACTTTTTCTCAGCCTTTGGATATGTACGCCTAAAATGAAATCCGCTTAAGTTCTATGATTTGTTTTGAAAGAATTACATGAAATTGGTTTTCAACCAGTTGTACATTATGTTCTGATAATAGTTAGGCAGAGGTATCTATTTAATGTATCGTATATCTGATAACTTGTTCGATGCGATATAAAAGATAACTTCTCCGTACTAAACATAACACCGGCTTTCACGGAAATATACAGAAAGGACCTCTGACAACTTCGTAGAAACCTAAGCGGAAAATTATTAAAATTTTAATTTAAATTCCTTTGCCGCTAACCGTAATAGGATTCTGTCAAACAATAGATTTTTTTCACTTCATTTTCCTCTCAATTTCAGTCAAATAAAGAAAAATAATTAAATTAATGAATCGGGTAAATTGATGCAGTCCTGCTTTTGATTTGGTCTCGGTACTTTGACTACTAGAAGTGAAAGAAAAATGTTCCCCGTAATTTTATATAAAATTATATTTTATAATACATATTCATCTGCCTATTTGGTTGGAGTACAGGGCCTCCCTATGAATGAAAACGAATTGAATAAGGAGAACTGACCGTAACCTATTATGCCCGTGCCACTACGCACTGCTCGGTTTTGTATAGATAATTAATATGGGAATTATAATACCATCTCGTGTGTCGAAGAAATGTATGAAATCCAAAGACTTCAACGTATGACAAGCTTGTACTATAACTAAAATTAAATATAAAGATATCTTAATTTCTTGTCTGTGTACGAGCGTCCATGGTTGCGTTGCCATATCTTTACTAAGAAGGAGTAAGCGAGACGGCAATACAATCGACTAAACGATGTGTAGTGTTGACCCAACTACTTTTCCAGTAATATTCCAGTAACGAATAGCTTCTTTAGTAGAATATATATAAATCGTTGATGAAATTTAATCACATCCTGGGGTAAATATGATAGACACTGGAACCTATCCACTCTCGTTTTAGTTAATTAATGGTCCTACAATCTTGTAACTGTTTCTAAAGACACTGATAGTATTTTATCTTCCTAACAACTGTTTGCTTTATTACTAATACAAACAAACCTGAGGTTGCCGCGGAAGAAAAACATCGGGATGTAGGGGACATGCTTAATATGATGAGTCATAGAATTAGGATATATGTGTCCTAAATCGATATTGTGTCCTAAATTAATTCATAGTTAGTGTTATACTTTTTTCTTTTATCTTTATGTCACTGAATATTGCCTTGCTTTTGTATGACATGTAATATAAGGTATTTAGGTGTCAACGAGTTACATAATATCCATTTGATTAAAAAAAAAGCATATTGAGCTAGTTATAAAACATTCAGGGTCCTACTTGCATTAAACAACGTTAAGGGTCGCCTTGAGATTTCTATTTTCAATTTAAAAATGTCACCGACAAAATGAAAACAATACTCACTGTAAGTTTCATAATATTTTTACTATAATGACACTACCGAAGATACTGATGCTATATTTTTTTTCAATGAGAAGGAAATATCTTAATAAAGAAACGGTCAATTCATAATTTTATTTCTTATTTTTCATTTTTTATCAATTATTTACAATTTATTTATCACAATTTCACAGTCATTACAATTAAGTACTATTTACAAAAATTACAAATTTATTATTTAACACTATTCCTCTACAATAACTACACACAACTTTCTGGTCCAGGAATTTCTTCTGCTATGAGGTGTTCTCTTCTACTTAACGTCAAATTTCCAGAAGTTATAGGTTTCGTTGCCGATGTCGTTCTCGGTGATAATAACTGTGGAAGAATATATTTTGCTGTTAGGAATACAATATCGTAAAGTTGCTACATACATATATTCATGGTCTTATTTTGTAGAACTCGAATAGAGCTTTTGGTGACACAAAGACAAATTTAAACGTACATAAAAGTCAATCTAGTGAAATGGAAATGATTAGTTGGTTTCATGAGTTAAGTACATTTTATCCATTTGTTACTTTACTAAAAACTTCTAAAAAGGATTTAATTGGTTTCAGAATGGTAACAATCCTGTGTTTAGAAATCATTCTAATGTTAGTGACCATGTAGATTTCAAACAACTAAAAGTCAATTAATTACTTGGCTTTGAAATATATAGGTATGTATTTACTATTCGTTAAGATTAGCCAAGACGTGTTCATATTTTAATCACAGGGATTACATGTGAAAAATATAAATATTTTATAAAATTCTCTTTTTATATAAAGAAAAACTAAATAAATACGAGTAACAATTTTATCTGTATCTGTCAATTATCACTTTATTCGAAAAATCTATGATTCAATTCGCGTGAAATATTTTTCAAAAATATACTCGCGTCCTGTAACAAAAAATATTCATTTTTCAATAGCGATCCATAAATTGTTTTGTTTTTTTATGCATATATTTTATATTGATTGACAGGTCAAATGTTTTTTTTTAATAAGTGCAGTGAGGATTATTTGATTCAGAAGATTCATCTTCAGTCAAGAGAAATATTTTATACTAACAAATATGATATAAAAATTCATCAACAACTCAAAATAATAATGTTTTAAAATCACAATACTATTGAGCTATATGCAATAATAAAGCAAAGTTGTTTGTTACTGTCTAAACACTTTATTACACAATATAATTGACAGGAAGCACAATGGACTGTAGATAATTTAATTATAAGATATTTTTTAACAAAGAAAAATATTTATTTATGAATAACGTATAAAAGCACAAGATACAAGACCAACAGCAAAACAACAAAACATTGACAAAAGGCTAAAATTTAAAAAATGTATATAAATTAGAAATAAGTATAAAAGCCCCCTTAAAAAGGCCAGTAATATGATATCAAAAACTGTCTTTAACACACGATTTAGCCGAGGTCCATGATTTTACCACAATAAATTGCATTTTTTTTTTTGTAATGCATGCACTCACAGTTCGCTGGTCGGATGAGCGCGAATGCAGTGAGCTGTCTCTCTCATACCACTCGGTCTCTTGGAGTGGTCCATTTTTAAGTTGTTCTACAGATTTCACGGGAGTAACGCCATCTATAAATGACAATGATAGACGTCAACGCATCTGATTAAAACTTAAAGACTGATTGTAGATAAAGGAATACAAATAAGTTAAAAAAATATCTATAAATGAATTAATAAAAAAGGAATATTTTTGTAATTTTATCGCTTGTATAAAAGGTTCTACGTATGTTAACGTAATTATGGCATAACATTGACGTTTCAATTTAATTAATACTTGAAAGTTAAGCAAATATGTACTTTGTTACTAGATCACAATTCGATATCGATTAACCAAAACTACAATGACTGACGGTCAGTTACATAAACGCCCATTAAGGTTTAATAACGCCTTTAAGCTCTAATGAATTTGAAATTTATATGGGTAATGTTGCTTTAAACTAATAAAAAATTTATGGACGTTTGTACAACAGGCTGCAAGATCAATAAACTAAAACATGATCTAGAAGCGGTCAATATATTTATATTGGCTAAATATGTAGAGGGGCAAATGAGTTGTTGACAGATGACTCTTTTACAATAACTTGGAATAAGCGAAATGTATATATCGCATATAGGTTTTAAAAATATTAGCTTTAACCCTTTTTCTTTAAGTTTTAAGTTACTTATTGTCAGTTGCAAAAAAGTCCATTAAGGTTTGATAAATGAATTCCTATGTATGTTAAATATGTATGGGTAATCTCACTTCAAACTAATGAAATTGTTAATGGACTTTGTGAAACTGGTTATTAGTTATTTTGTTAAGAACAATAGAAAGGATAATTTTACGTACATCACCCGATAAGCTACTAATAAACCGGGAACTTTCTGCCTCACAAAGTCTCTACTACAACAGCAGTCGGTAGGTCCTACCAATCCCCACGTGATGGGTAGAAGATTTGTTACCCAGCAGTTAAAATATATAAGTCAATGATAATGAAAGTGTGCTTCAATATTTTTCTTGTAAACTAATTATATAGTTACCAGGGGGTGGATTCAAAATGTCGGGCTGCGCCTGTTTAGATGGCTTTAACGTGTAAGCCACGACGTACTGTCCATCACCGGCATTTAGCTGTAACTCTGATGTTTGTTGCTTGACAGGCGGCTTACTCCTAGAATAAAGTCGGCTGTGCTCGTTCATCAAAAGTTACGGAAACATGACTCTTACTCGGTTGTTTTAAACTTCATTTCAAATATTTTTTAATGAAATTCGCTTTCGTTATGACGCCTCTCGCTACCAGGATAATAGATTTATTATTAATATTTAATAAAAAACGTGGATTTTTTTTATTAAAATCGACTCAAATTCATTTATTTGGCACACATAAATAGGACACTTACAGACGATTAATAAAGAGTTAAATATGAGAGAAAACATAAAAAGATAGTAATAATAACACCATGTAGGTGATAAAGCAATGCGTGTCCCACATTTGTACCAAAAAGGATTTGTTCTTATAAACTCTGTCATTTGTTTTTATACTATAGTTTGAAATGGCTAACAAAGATATGTTTTCAGAATAAAAATAAAAGATTAAAATGGAAATGTATGAATTGGTCACTATTTGTCACCATCATACGACAATATGCGGCGTTCATTATAAAAATAAACAACCTTTTTAATCGTCCTTATTTTTTTTTTCTCAGTAATCCGCAGTAAATCAGAAAATTACTTTTAGAAACTATATTTATATTATGTACATCAATCAAAGAAAGCTGGCGTTCTGCTAATTTTAGGTGAATATCGATTACACTCGGATATTTGAAGAAATACTCCTGACTGTGCAGCGACTATTCAAATATATAGAGTGCAAAACCCGAACTTCCTCACATCATTTATTGGCCATATAACTCAGAAAGTTCAAATTAAATACAAAGGTCTAAATCATGCAAGTCAAATGATTATAGGAATGTCAAAGAAATTAAGTATTTAACAATGTCAAGTTGGTTATTTTTATAATTCCTAATAATCAATTATATCACATAGCCAATTAAATTACAACATTACAAATTCAATTATAATATATATTACATTAAATAAACAAACATATAGGTAATATATAATGTTATTATTGATGATTCTTATATCTTGTCATTTACCACAGAGATCTAGTTGAGAGTATACAAGGCGACATCTATTGTCTTATTACAAAAGGAGGACTAACGTTAGTACTTGGTTAAAACCATTGGCTGCCTTAAGCAAATTCACAATAACAGAAAACGTCAAACTAAGACTTGTTCGCTTTTTACGAAAACTGGTTCAAACCTAGTACTAAAATTAAACATATTTTAATAAGTAGGGCAGTATACCTTTTCTTTCGAAGGAAGTACGCTATAAAAGTGCCGGCACATAAGCACGCGACGATTGTTAAAATTATCGCCCAAAACGCAGTTTTCGACATACCAGCCATGAGGTGGACACTACCGTCTGTGTATGAAATATAGTCAATTAATAATAAAATGCAATACAATATTAATAGAATCAAAGCTCCTTACGAAACTTTTACGCCAAAACAAATATTACTCGTATAAGGTTTATTTTTTGCACATTTATTATTGAAGATAGTAAATCCTTTTTTTAAAACTTGAGCCATTTATAAATGTAATTTATTCTATAAAGAGTGTTTAATTTTGAAAAAGAAAATTCATTAGAATTTAAAGATAAAAAACCACAAGTTAATGTTAAGAGATAAAATTTTTAGAAATAAATTGGGTCATGAGTTAAATATTCTTACTTACATTTTAAGTACTGCTTTCCCGCGACTTCGCCTGCGTAAATTATAGTCTAAACCACCCGCGTATGATGTAGCTACCCGTGGTTGTAAGAATTTTCACAGGTTAATTTCAGTATTTCCGAAGATTGAAAAAAAATTACACCCAAAGTGAGAAACTTCACCTCTTTATATTCCTATCATCACTTATTATTAATATCTCAAGATCTGGGTGGTCATTATGATAGTTACGTGTAACCTCTTCATTTATATTATTTAGCCTACATTTATTCGGACTAACTGACCGTAGTGCTGTTCCTTCTATTTATAGAATGTTTAAAAACGTTCTAAAAAGTCCCACACAGTCGTGGATTTTATTCAATTTCAAGCATTCGTGTACAGATGCTTTTATTTTGAAGTCGCCTAGTAAGTAAATGAATATATATACAGACATAAACTGAATCACCACCATAAAGTTAGTTAAATTTGTTTAATACCAAACTAGTTAGCATACAAATGCGCACCCACAAAAATGTCACTGTAATATTAAAAAAAACTTTTTCTCCAACGCTGTTGAAACACAGTAGTTATTACATTTCATAATCCTTTCTATTATATTATAGATACACATATGACATGGTAGCTGGTGGGTTATAGGATATTTTTAGCGGGAAAAACGTATCTTCAATATTTCTCATTGACAACATGGAACTAGTGAAAAATGTGTCTTAATATTTTCGATTTGAAATGTTAAAACAATATTTTCTTAATAAAACATACAGTAAATTAAAAAAAGAATAGATCAGGAGTAGTTCTACTCATCATAATATTCATCATCATCAGCTGTTTTAGATCCCCACTACCTCTTCCTTACGGATGGGTAAGAAGGATTTCTAATGTTGTTTTTCCATACTAAATCAAATAAAATATACTGTTCCGTTGGTAATACATCGATTGCTTTATATCTCTTAATAATACTATGCGAATACATCGCAATGTCATAACGTAAGGAGTTCAAAACTACAAATGGGACTTGAACATAATTTACGATTAAGTTAAATTTGACAAAACATGTCGACTGTGCACCGTATACCTCATTTGGTTGTCTACATATGTTGCTTTGTCTAGATAATAATACAAAGCGAGTTTTACATCGCCATGTGACTTAATAACTCAATTAGTGTAAGGTATTTTGTCTGCGTAGTTTCTGTTTAAGTACTTTACACTGTAGTTGTGAGAACATTCTTGCTAGGAAGCTATGATTAATGTAAATTGTTATGGGTAAATACAATTTGTTGATAAACAGACAAAGTGATGAAATAGAATTAAAAAAAAAAAAAAAAACGATTCTGAGATGACGGTTTTAGTTTGTGACCTTTACTCTTTTTTTTAAATGTCTATATAAATTGTTGAAACATTTGTTATTACAAGTTTTGGCAAAATTTTAAAGAATATTCTTTGCTTAATTTCTATAAAAAAACATTACTCAGATGTTAAAAGCCAATCTATTTTTATATAGATGTTTTTTTACGTACATATTCCATATTCATATTAGTTTATATACTTGTAAAAAAATCTTTTGACTGTTTCGGTCGATTGCTTGAGCATAGATGAAAAAAAAAAGTAACAAGTGCTTGAAAGATTCGACAGTCCAGTGAGGTCTTGGGTAGCTCGGTGGTTAGAGCAGTCGCCCAGATTGCGAAAGGTTGTGGGATCGAGTCCCATTTCAGAGTGCCAGGGACAAAGTGGATTTTTAGACATTTTTCATTAAGAATATACATATTATTTTCTTCATTTTCTTACACCGCTCAATATTCAATATACAGTCTTTATCTACGTCACTTTTTTAACTGTTACCTGTTCTTCTTTCAGGGTCCTGGTAAGCGAGCGCATGGACCATAATACGTTCAGAAGCACCCTTATCATTCCTTGCATGCACTGTGAGACGTAATGAGTTACCGGTAGACCAAAGCACTCCCGCCGGTACTAGAAAAACTGCTACACCATCTGTTACAATAATTACATGTTATAATGTTATTTTGCCAATTTTTAAAAATAATCAATCACATAAAATATTAAACATTTTAGGGTAAATTAACTAGATGTAATTCTGCAGTTCCCTATATCTGGCAGAATTTTAATGCCCCGAGACTTATTTGGCATAAAAAGACTTGGCATACTCTTTTAACAGAAATTATTCACTCATAGGGAATATTTCTTTCTTTCAGTATAATAAAGTCAGAACCGATCAATTGGTTAGATAAGAACTATGATCAAAACAAAAAGCGAGAATGCATAACAGTGACTACTATATACAATTGCCTACAATGTATCTTTCAAAACATATGTATCTCAAGAAACGAATCAGATTGTTTTTTTTACAAAGCTTTGGATATATATATATGTACTTTTGAATTATTATGATTATAAATTTTTTGCATAAATATGATTTTAAATTGTACAATTATGATATTTATTTCTTATACTTTCAAACGCACTTTCCATAAATGAAACAACTTTTAAACGGTTTTATCACATTGGTATTTAGTTTCATTGACGTTTCGGACAATTTACAGGTTCCGAGTGATGCGAAATGTTTCATTTATGTACAATTGAATACAATTGAATGCTTTATGAATGTATTTAGTTGCCATACGTAATAATATTACGAAAAAAGTTTTGTCATGAAAATGAGACTCCTTATTTTGATATGTGAATAACTCACTATCGTAAAAACGAGTTTAGAGTACTCTTTTCTAACTTACTATAAAATCGTTATGACTTACCCGTTTCGTTAGCAGTGACATTAAATCTAATAGTACCACTGCCAGCGTCTAAAGCTTCTAATACAACTAACTGTGGTAATCCACCGTCGTAACCAGTGACGCATCGCACCACCAAAGAGTCACCGATTTCTTCGTGATTCTCTTCAATCCAGTTGGAAAGATTTCCTGCTGATACCGTGCAATTTCTCGGTGGAGATGGACGAGCTAATAGGTACAAGAAATATATACAAAAACAAACACATTCCGTTAATAGTTATTTTAGTATTAAATTAAGACGTAAAATGTATATTACACATAAACATGTGTACCTGAAATAAAATATATATTTATGTATGTATATATAAACGCGCTTGATTGTTATTTGTTTCTATTAGAATTGTACATCATAGGAATATTTTCTGTAAGCTTTTTTTTATTATATTTATTTATATATATATAATAAAAAAAAGCTTACAGATAAGTTATGTAAACAGTAAATATGAATATAAGTTAAACATATAATGTAGACCAAACAAATGAATTAATATAATAGCTTAAGACAATTCTAATAGAAACAAAAAACAATCAAGCGCGTTTTGTAAAATAAAAAATAAAAGAAAATAGTATGAGTGGTCAATCTGTCCATATTTAATAAGTTGAATAAAATAGAATTTACAAAAAACTTTCCGTTCAAACTACCGACATTACATATCATACAATGCATAGTATTTACCAGCAGGAACAATTTGGAATACACAAGGCTGCTCCTGTCGTCCAACGGAGTTGGTTCCCCTACACGTCAACGCTCCATAGTCTCTTTCACTAGCTGGTGTGTACCGGAGCTCGCTTATACTACCATTGACTGTGGCTGGTAACAAAATATTCTTTATTGCATCTAAATGTATACGATTCATTAACTTCGCACGTATAACATAACTCGAGCTACGAGTATAATTTTCAGATATTAATAATATTGGCCGGTTGATTAATACTCTAGGAACTTAATAGCGCTGTGGTTAGCAAGTCCGATTTACTATGTGGAAGTAAAATAACTTATGCAAGGTTTCATCATATATTTATTTGATCATATACTTATGCAAGGGTTGATATAGGGTGGATATGTAACCAAATATTTATTATCTCGAACTCCTACGTGATTCAGAATGTACTTTAAGCTGTATTTTGTGGTCGTTGACACCGACCTAAGTATCTAAGATAATAAAGAATAGGCCGAAAATATACTGATTTTTATTAGTACACACCATATCTCGCCGGAGAAACATTGAAACTTTCACCGCTATTATTAAACTGCCATAGAAATGTGACGTCAGCAGGGTCTGCATGAACTGAGCATCGTACACGTAATGCCTCATCCAATGCTGCGCCAACAACCTGGGGCGAAGATTCTCCACAAACTGGGGCATCTAAAGCAAGGCAGATACAAATATAATATATTTAATAAACGACTATACAATCAGTCGAAAATAACTTTTAATAAAATATTATATTTGGAAGAAACTCGTAGCATTATTCTACAATATTAATGAAATCCTAAAGTCTAACTTTCGTTAGTATAATCAACTATTACTCTAAAATATATGAAACAAGGATCTATTTTGTAATATGTACACCGACCGAGTAATTTTCTACCACTAGATATATTTGGAAAGGGAACGCTCTAAGCCATACATTATGTATAATCGCAAGGGAATTATAAACCAGTCTCACACTATCAGACTCACGGGGCTGATAAGATGGAAGCAATTAATATAAGAGCATATATAACTAAGAGGCATCGTTATATTACTCGTAAAATAACATGTATGTATAATGAAGATGACGACTAGGTGAAAAAAAGGGATTCTATTTAGTCCATTAGACAGATAATGGAAAAATATTGCTAAAATGCCCCTTTTATCTAAAACAACGTTTCAAGTTTTTATCGTCCACTCATGACCTACCTCTTCGTTCATCAGACAGTCTTCGCCTCTCGGTTCCTCAAAACCGTTCAAAATTCTACAGTCAATCGTTTACGTTACACGCGACTCGATTGTGGAATTCTTTGTCCGAAGATACCAGACGCTCACAGTTGCTCTACTCATTTAAATCTAGAGTAAAAGCGCATTTTCTGTCTGGTGGGCATAATTCTTAAAATCTTAATCCTTTATCCTTCCTTCTTATAGCTTGCGGTATCTTCTGCTCATGTTGGCTACTTCGTATTTTACCCATGTATATTTATTTTATTATTAGTATTATTTTTATGTATATGTGTATGTGTATGTATATATATATATATATATATTTTTTTCATTTTGTATATTTAGTTGATGTTTTCCCTAATTTTGTGCATGACCCACAATCACATGCCACCAGTATCAATCAAAAGGTTGCCTGGAAGAAATCGCTGTTCTGCGATAAGGCCGCCCATTAATTGCCCGCCTGTAATTAATTTATATTTTTGTTCCTTGCAATGTATTTATTTTTACTTCTTTTTTGCAATAAAGTGTTAAATAAATAGAATAAATTAATATTAGATATGTATTTTTAGCAAGCCAAAGTCAAAGTCTAAATAATCTTTTTTAGCTTCAATTTAACAAGAAATGGCTTAGATAATAGGCATTAAAGTTAAGGAGTGGGACTCGCTACGTCACAGTTTTGTGTAGTACGTACATAAGCGTGACGTCATGCAATATTTCAAGTCAATGTATCGCCGTAATTAATAGATTACGAAAAATAAAAAATAAATAAGTGTTTAATATTTTTCATTATAATTTACCTCACAGTCAAAGAAACAAAAGTCAGTCATCAACTTTATTAGTGAAAAATTATGATTCAAGATCAAATATCATCAAAATTTTTGATTTCTATCACAATTAGAAACTAATAATTTTATTTTAAATAAATAAATTAGATTTTAAATCGTCAATAAGTTCTCTATCCGCTTGTGTTAAATTATTAGCATCATACGAAACATGGCACACTTTCGTTTGTTTTCGTTATCATTAAGGATAACTTTTTACCGGTACAGTTTACGCATATTTTATTGCATGATAATTTTTCAAAGTTTTAGTACCTAATATTTTAGAATGACAACCCAAATGCTCATTTGCACTGGTCGAAGACTCCATGTGTAAGGAATATGCAAATTCTGTGCTTAGTTTTATTGACCAATGAAATGAGCTCGCAGAGATCATCCGTACTCCGGACACTGTCGACCAGTGTAACACATAAATTTAATAATTTCTATATGGTACTCTCCGACCGCTGCTATGGCATACTTTTATCATTTATATTTCATCCACAACTCGAACCTAATCTTATCGATTTTTAGGTTCTATTATGTCTAGTAATATTATGCGATATAAATTTAAGCATACAAAAACTGTATGCCAACAATCAATTATTTATAGCAAAGTTTATAGCAAATAAGACAAAGCGGTTGTTAGCTGAATTTAGTTACTATATTATTTCAATTGTTTGAAAAAAGTCTGATAACGTATACAAACCTTTTGTTAGACCACAGACGATAAACATTATCAACCTGAAACGCATGATTCTAGTTTTTAGGTAAACGAACTAAAAACTATAGTAAAAAGAAAATATTTTAAAATTTTCTTTCAAAACGTCTTTCAAAATTCATTCTAAATTTTTATTATATTAGTGTTAAGTAATATCATCAGAATGTTTGTTCAAAATGTTTCATGGGGGTTAACCTAAATCAATATAATTATAGGCTTTCCTTCTTACATCTGCCGTTAAGTTTGGTGCGTTAAGGAAGGAAGTAATGATGAATGATATATAATTATTCCCACAGTATCTCTTGTGCCGGACCCTGATGATTTACGGCACTCGTTGTATAATGAAGACCAAACATAGGTAAAGGAACAGAGTAGAGTGTTATCATTTACACGGCAAACATAATGGTAATAGTAGTCTTAGTATGATCTACTTTCTTTATGTGATTGTAGTTAAAGGGAACTATGGTCTAAAAGTGGAACTTTCAGACTACAGTTCCCTTTGAATAGAATTTTTAAAGCGAGTTAGCAACATAAAAATTAAAATATTTATTGCTAGTGCTTAAACTTTGCAAAGGATACGTTTAAAACGTTAAAATAAATCTATTTTATAAATGCTTGTGTAAGTGTTATTATACTGTGCAGTCCTAATAGACTGATTTATAAGAGAAGTATTAGAGTCAATGTTAAAGTGTAAGATCCATAAATAAACTCGAGAATTATTCATGAACCTCCCTCAAAATTGAACAACAAAACAGTACACAACATTAAAACAAAGGAAAGATAATAGTGAACCTATCATTGGCGTCCGTTTCGTAAAACGGCCTTAAACAAAGCGCCATGAATTAAAGTGAAGCCGCGGTAAAACAGATTGCTCCGATGGCACCGAATCGCAGCAATATTAGGCAATAATTTTGATGATTTACTGGCTGGTGCCGCCTTTGAGTTTCTGCGGCAATTACTATGCGGCCGGTTGGTCGGAAGGAAGTCAGTACGTCGATCCGGACCGCAATCATTTGAATATTCGCAGATATGACTGTATTTATAACCGTTTGTAACTCACGCGGCGACAATTTAGGTGGCCACACATCATTCTCTATGATATTTATTGGTTATGGAAACGATGGGTGTAGTTAATGACCCTTTGGAAACTTTAAGATTTGTGAGTTTCGGAAATGTGTTTGTTTTCTTTTTTGTGTCCATTCTCGTTTCTGTAATTACTATTCAAACAATTTACGGAGACAGTAGACATACCGGAATAGTAGATCGGTTTTGAACATATTATGGTTATAACTTGATTTGGCCATTTTAAGAATTAAGAGAAAGTGAATTTTCACAGTTGTTAAATTTCATAATGCAACATTTTAAAAACCTTTTACTTGAGTGTTTCAAATGGGCAAAAAGGGAGCAGTGAAAACGGGTATTCTTCCATTTTTGTGGTATTCTTAACAATTGTACTTTGAGACATATGAAGATTCTAGCTGCACCATCTATTCAGCATTTGCTTATAATCGTTTCCATAATATGCAAATGGTCTTTACAAACTGTTATGGTAGCTTTCGTACTCGGACATTTGTCATAAGATAATCGGGTGGAGGACTCTAGGTAACCTCCAAAATTAGATATGTAGTCTGGATCGCTTACATATAAAAGTGAACGTTAATATGTCAGCACGCATGCACCAGCCGCACGACACTCAACGAATTATATTATAAATTCCTATGAAATCATCAACATAATTCTGACGCCAGATAGTCGCATTTTCCATAGAAGCATCTATGAAAAATGCGACTGCACTGGACGTATGACATCGATAAAATCCGTGCAATGTGTTGCGTGTCGTGAGGCCGGTGCGTGCGTGCTAAAGCAGTGGACGAGTACCTTCATTGTCCTAATTCATTTAGTCGTAAAAAAATATTTTACTCCCAATACAGTTTATTCTTTTGGAACTAGTGAAAACATTAACATTTGCCAATTTCAGTGCATTAACTATGTTTAAAATAAATGTTAATAATAATAAAATTACAAAATAAAGTTTTATGAATATAGTATTACTTTAACTACCTACAAGATCATTGACCGTCACTATTACTAGATATTTTTTCAAGAAAATAAGATAATTAGATTCTTCTATTTCTTTACCCTTCTCCTGTATATTTACTGTGGTGGATAATACATAAAGCAAAGAGAAAAGGATTTCTTCACACATAATGCTTCTTATAAAATAGATCTTAAGTAACAAAACAAGATTTACAAAGCCGTTTGTAGAATTATCTACTGCTCTAAAAAGAATTACATATATTTAAAGTGTGTATTTCTTATCTAATTTATATACTTACATTGCACTCTTAATTTGACTTTAGGGCTTGATGTTTCCCCTCTGACATTCGTCGCTTTACATGTATAGCCGCCGGCTTCTTCGCGTGTCACCCCTTGTAGAACCAACGAGCGGGTACTCAGAATAATTCCTGAGGTCATATTCTGCGTCACCGGCCTATCCTAGATTATATTATTTATTTTGATTTGTGACTTTCAAACGACTTTGATTTCACATATTAATAATTTAAAAAAAATTTGCTGTGACATGTATATTTAACTTTGTTGTGCAATAAAGTGTATAATTATATAAAATAGTTTCATTGATCAATAGTTTGGTCTGCAGGCACATTTCAAAACAATATTCATTACATCTTTAACTTCATTCCTATCCGACTCTACAGTATAAAAATACCTAAAGCCGAGTGAGATAGTGGAAAACAAATATACATAACACAAGAAAAACAAAACTGATATTTATGGAATTTTGTAAAATGACAATATTCATAACATTAATAATGTCAATGTAATTTAATAATACTTACGTTATGGAACCATGAAATTCGATGCTCTTTTGGATTTGCCTTAACATTGCATTCGAAGTATACGTCATCACCTTCCTTGATCTCATCTGGATTGAGAGTACTTCCCAGATTTAATAACACCAAAGGGCTATCTAGATAACAAAAATAAAAAAATATAATAAAGAATCTGCTTTTGTAAATAAGAAACATGCAGAACGTGAATTTTCAACATTGAAAACCTAACATTTCAAAACAGTTGTTAAATAAAGTTAGAGACTAGAAAACAATATAAATATCAACAAAACTAAACAGTTACCTAAACATGATTGGGAAATGCTGTACATAATTTTTTTTTAACATTCGACAATCGATGTTTCTAGAAATATTTGTCATAATTTGTGTAACTACCTAATATTCTACCCATCTAAAAACCACAAACTTTAACTTGTAGCAACTAGCAAATAGCCACTATGACAATAATGGCGTTCGATATTAGTTCACCCGGCGTACCCCCAAGTTATCAACCCTGGCGATTAGACAAAATAGTTTCTAACTAGACCATCGATAGCTATTTTACATCAGTACATTGAATACCACCGGGATCTTTTGTGATTCAAAACTTTTGAATACTCGAGGAAACAATATTCTGACACAATAATAGATAAGCGTCGTATAATGAACTATTGTAGCTTTAGAAGTATTTAATGGTTCAATATAGTCATTGAATTGTAAACACTGATGTAATGGCAAAAAATAATTATAAACGCTATTTGAAAGAAACTATTCAAATAGTTGTTTCAAACCAAAACTCATTTTATATAATATCTATTCAGGTAAAAATTATCTAAAATTTTAACACAAACTCGTATCCGTGAAAAAAATTATTCTACCCAACAAATAAAACATCCAATTTTATTGAATGTCATTCGTTTCGAGAATGAAATTGTCGATATACTCCCTTTAGAGAGTGTTTCTCCATCGATTCATTAATCAGGAATGACATAACATCACTTTACTGGGTCTTGTATGTTTAAGTGTTGAACTTTTTCAGATAACTCGATAAGGAAGACAGACTAATGTCGCTTATAAAAAAATACCTAAAAAGTATTTCCCTCCCCATAATGACTCAGTTACAAAGGTCGATGACATGCATTCGGGTTACGAGTGATTTTATTGACCAATGAGACGCGTAGAGATCGCGATCAGTGTCACTGAGCAATAATAGAAATATCCCATTGGACATTTAATCCTTTGATTACAATATAATCAAAGATTTCATCCGATTAAATTTAATTTAAAACTTCATATTGATTAACAGCTCACCTGATGACATTGTTCTATTAGTTCATCAAATAAGGATATTATTAGGTATAGCATATTGTATAAATGCGTTAAAAATAAATAAAACTGTACATTTATTATCCCTTCTGATCGACGAGAAACCTACAAACATCTTTGCCTAGTGCCATTCTTTTCATCTTATCAGAACCTTTATTTAGAGAAAATAATTTTATAGAAATTAATGTATGAAATAAAACTATAAACTTCACATTTTTCCTATTTAAAACGTTACTTGAACTTACTAAATCGCTATAACTATTCTCAAGTTGAGACAATTACAATAGGGATGATGACTGGGTAAAAAAAATGCAATTCTATTTAGTCCGTCAGTCAGATAATAGAAAAATATTAGATACGTATTTTTTTTACTTCAATTTAACAAGAAATAGCTTAGATAACAGGCATTAAAGTTGAGGAGTGGGGGCTCGCTACGTCACAGTTGAGTAGAAAACGTACTCAACGTGACGTCATGCGAAATTTCAACACAATGTAACGCCGTTATTTTATGATCACGAAAAAAATAAAAAAATACGTGTTTAATATTTTTAACACTCTACCTGACGGACAAACAAACAAAAATTAGTCATCATCCCTATTCGTTTATCAAAATACTTAACAAATCCACTGTTTTCTTTATTCTCATACATACGCTATTTATAATATTAATCGTATTTTTATATACGTCATCATTCTGTTATTATTGGGAATTTTCCAACATTATCTTATTGTACTCACATACTACATTGAGTTGAATTTGGTCGTCGATCGCTTTCATTGGTAAAGTTGGATTAGAAGCAAGACATTTTACAACCGCTCCATTGTCACTTGGTAGAGGAGTAAGAGCTAGTGTACCAACAGTCGATGTCTCGTTTGAAACCTCGTTCACCTAAAAATGTGTTATATTTTTAGCAAAATATAGGTACTCATACAATATTTCGCAACTGCAAATATAAAACCTATTATCTGAAAATACTCATGCTATAAGACAGCAACTTAAAAGGATAATAATAATACTTTCTAGTAACCCTTTTCATTATGATATGAATATTCTTTATTGCATCCCAAATTTATATTAGTATAGAAGGGAACATTGGCTTGTTTCTTACATAAATTTTTAGTAGTCATAGTTTTTATTGTTATTTTACCTCTGCCTTCTCAAAGCTTCTGTTATCCTTGTACCAAGAGATTTGTGCTGGTGGTCTACTGCCTTTGGCCACACACCGTAACGTAGTAGAAGCACCAGCCACCAACTGGTGTGGTCGATTCAACAATGATACCGATATTGGTGGCACTAAACAAAAACAGATATTTTAGGTATAGTCACGTAGGTAAAGTGTGTTCGTGTCTATTGAAAAGAGAATTGAAAAGAGTAGCATAATTATTTAGTAAAAAATAGGACATTAGAGATTGAAATAATCTATATTTTTATATTTAGGTATAATATAAAGAATTTTAATATACTGATACATTTAAGACAGATTTATATTTATTAATTTGTTTCTGTTTCACAAAAGGCTTAGTAATGTGGCTCAATTTGATATTTTTATCTAAAATACACACAATAAGTGCCCAAAATATAAATAAGCATACACTTTCCATAACATTAGTCTAGAAAAGTTTGCGTTCAAATTACTATCGGTAAGGTTATCCTCAAAAACAATCTAACAAATACCTTTGCGATAAACACTATTCAAAATACTAAACTGTTCTAAATACCTTTCGATATAAATGAAGATTAATAGCATTCCCTGCCCACTAATCCCACTAAATTTATATACCAGGGGGCCAATTCTACTAAATAAATTTTGTTTAAATCGAATCGAAAACGGATCGCAACCGAACAAAATTACATTTTTGAATGGTTTTTCTATTCTACTAAGTGACATACGATACGATTTAGTAGAATTGGCCCCCAGGCTTATTTACATCGTAACGTTTATTATATTTTTTTAATCGAATACTATTAATCATATAAAATTACAGTGATAAATAATGATTTAGACTATGGATAAGTATGTATAAATATACATACTTATATTAACTTTAAGAGTATACGTACACCAATACTATAATATTTCTCTAGGTTTTGTATTGAGAAATAACATCTGAATAAGTAGCGATCGTTGTGTCACTTGTGAATGTATAACATTATCCCGATATAAAATAAACTTTAAGTTCTCCCTAAAATTATAAATATCTCGTCTTTTTATCGTAATTAAACTTATTCTCACAATAAAAAAAATAATCAATACTGGCCGAAGGAAAATAAACGTATAATGATTTGTTCATTAAAAAATAACCTATTCAACTTACGGTTCATCTCAAGTCTAACAGTCTTCTCTTGTGGTGGAACTAATACGGTATTTGCTGCTCTGCATTTGAACGTCGTATTCAAGTCTTCCCTTTTCAAATGCTGTAACTCCAAACGATTTACTACCACGTGGGTATCAGTCTTAACACCTATGTATTGAGGAGCCGCGGAGCCATCGATGAGCCATGTGACCACAGGTTCTGGTCGTCCTGTTGAATAGATTATATCTTTTAGAGTTTCTCAATGCGGTCTTTTTGTTTAAAGTTTAAAAACTGAAAAGCAAAACATTCTTTCGCCCTAGCTAACAACGATGCAGGCCATTTTTATCCCTTGTCAACATACTTTCAGCACCAAGCACGAAAGTAAAACTTTAATGCTGGTTATTTGTATCCCTTATTAATATTTATCGCCAGAATTAAATAGTTTCTTGCATACATTAACTGTCTTCTAAATAAATATATATTATTCTTTTAATTTTTTTTTTAAGCCGATTGTGTTTTTTAATTAATTTTAGTTTATTTGCAGGGTTGGTTTCATGCAGGCTATTTTACATGGTATGATGTTACAAGAGGTATATGAATGGCGATAGGTGGTAAGTCCAGCGCCACGCCTGTAATTCAAACGCCTCTAGGAAAGTTTAAATGGATAGTCATCGTACAAGTTTCGCAACATAATTTTTCTGCCGTACAAAGTTATGAAATCAACGTAAACCAAGTCGATTAATTAAAAACTGTCTTTCTGTGGGAGCAGCTATCCATCCGCCCTTGTCATAGATTTAGAGATACTTAACAAATGCACACAACGTCATTGTGTCGGTACATTCTTTTGAATCAATTAAACTTAGATTTTGTTTTCTGTAAGATTCTTTAACCGTAACTATGGGTTTGCCAAGTACTCCTAAAGATATGACAAGGATGGATGGACTTACTTCCACAAAAAGATAGTTATTGATAGTTACAGAAAGATAGGTTCTGATTTAATCGACTTAGTTTACGTTGATTTTTTTTTTTATTGTAGATAGGCAAGCACTTGACCACAGATCACCAGATGGTAAGCAATGCAGTGGTCTAAGATAGAGCGTGCTTGCCTAGAAGGAACCGATTCACTCTTGACTTGAAGATTTTATGATTTTATAACTTGTTTAAAAGATATTATAACTTGTCAAGGTAGAATGATTGCGTTTATGAGATTTGTGTATTTTTGTAGTACATGTTATGTTTTTAATGGGGTCTCCTTTCTTTTTGTAGGTATATAGTTCTACTATTTTTCTTTTCGAGTATTATATCTTGAGCCTCATTTATGGGTTTCACAAAGATCACATTCTTTTTCTGTTGACTTTTTAATAGACTATTGGTTTTCGATAAATCTACTCGGTGAATGAATCTTTAAAAATTTTATTATATTCAGAATACAACCAAAGCTAACATTGATTAGATAGTTATAAACAGTTTGGGTAGGTCGCTCTCGAAAATGCCAGAAACGCTTGACTAATACATATAGCTTGACCGCATTTTTCCTAGGATATTATTTTCCTTATATATTATACTTTACTCTTTGGTAAATATTTTTTGTATTAGTGTCTATGATCCAAGTTTGTATTGCATATACTTAATTTTTTGTTTTATTGCTAAACAACCAAAGATGTTTTCAAAATGTTATACAGTTATTTAAAATCGGAAAAACAAAAAATGGGACAAATATTGCATTATGTTAGATTTAAAGTACTTGTTCAATTTTAATGTTATTTAGATATGTGCTTCGTTATGGGTCACTGTAATTTTAAGTTTCTATTTTACTCCACGACGTAGTTACAGGGGGTAACAAATTACTCGAATGGCTTTAGAAAAAAGATGGTACAGTCGTGCCCTGTTTACTTTCTTGCTCGACTTGGCGGAGGCACTTCCGTGCCCCTAGACATATATTATATCTTTGATACTGCGGAATATGTTAGGGTATTATAGAGCCAAAAATAATTAAGATGAAGATAGATAGGATCCGGTCGAAGTTCAGACGTGACTGCAGAGCTATTTTTCTAGATAACATTATTCCCGACTTATCTCTTGTGTAACCATTCTGAGATGGGTAATGGTTGAGTCACGAAATAACGAAAATAAGAATATCACTGATAAGAAAGGTAAAATCATATGAAATATTTGTAAAAAAAGCCGATTAATGAATCAAGAAATTAGTGAGGAGATTGGCATCAGTTCAATTTTAATGTCTGGAATGTCTTCCTAAATATTTGGGTAACGCAAGTAAAGTTAAAAAGTTGTAAATAATAGTAAGTTATGCTTCCAATTAGTTATCTGCTGCTGACACTAAGTTCATAATTTCATCTACCCGTTGTATAGCTCATAGTTCAACCGTTTTGTTTTTTCATTTAAAATCTACGAAAAAGGCACATTATGCATTTCCATATAAAAAAGCTGTTCAATTAGAAAATTTCCAAAGAGACTTCAATATTTAAGTACCTACTATTACTTTTCTTCAACTACTTCCATCTATTCTGTTTCATTGAAGTGCGTAATCTACATATATCCAATTTACATATATACGATCTTTATTCCGGCCGAACAAACACGTATCTATATCGAAATACTATCTTGGCAGAAACAGAATTAGATTATTCCCACACTGCGGCTCAATCTGTGCTAGGCATTTTCGTTTGACGAGTTTGGTAGCCACATAATTAAATACAAGCGTGATAAGGCCCAAAGGGGGAATTCCTCCGATGTCTGCCCGGCTGCATCATCACAATTGCTGGGCACACAGGCAAAGATAATCCCTGCTGGCTCGTCGCCAACCGTCCATGCTGCGGACTTTTCAATGAACCCACTGGATTGGAATATCTCGCCCAGTGTTTCCATAAAAGAAATCAAGCAATAGAAAAATTGAACTGAATTGTAACGTTATGACGTTATATCTTTCAGTTGACAGCAGTGGATGGATGTGTTCAGTTATATAGAAAACTGAATTTGAATATTTGAATTACAATAAGTGAATACCAGTGATACATGGAATACATTCAAGATATCTAAAAGTATTTCCGGAAACAATTTAGTGATTATTGCAAAAGTTCAAATATTCTAAATATTATTTGACCTACGTAATTTAAAAGATTGATTTATCTATATGTATTTCGATTTTTTCTGACATAATGTTTTTTAAAAATAAATAAATAAGTTGTCGTCTGTTTTGAATTCTCTATTTCTTTTGGAATTATTTAATTATGGATTTATGTATGAAAGGAGCAAACAACGAATAATTATTATTATAGGAGTTGTGAACTGCGATGTAACAAGATATATAATTGTACTGCGACTGTAATCACAAAATAATGTGACAGCATTCATGATAATCACAACCATGAGCCCGATGCAACCAGGAAATGCGTAAGCGAATTAAAAGAGAAATTAAAAAGTGATTCGTTATCTGGTGTGAAGACATGTAAGGTATTTCAAAATGCCAAAAGCTCTGTGTCTACGGATGTTTGCCGTCCACATCTGCATTAAAACTAGTAATTTATCCCCATAAAAGACAACATAATGCTATAAAAGAGCCCACTGATATTACTTTTGAGATAAACAGCATATACACAAAAATTAAAAACGAAAATTTTATCATAAAAGACCATACATTCGATACGAATAAAAGGATTTTGCTGATGTCTACACTTAATATTATGTCAATTTTAAAGTTGCGCCCAAATTTTCAAGCAGCTCTATACCATACATGGAAATATTTTTAAGGATAATAAAAAAAATCCGTTTTACTCTTACTTTTGTTTATGCACTAATAAATATAAACGCACACACATATCACACATGTTTCACACATGTTTGAACTATTCATTGAATACGGCGAAGAACACGGTATTAATCTTGCACAAAAATTATGTGTACTAGATTTCGAAAAGCTGCCACACTGTATTCTCGATCAAATTTTGAAGAAATTTATTTACAAGAATGCCATTTTCATTTGGGACAAATTATATATAGGTGTTATAATTGAAATAATTTTCTATAATTATTTTTTTAATGTAGCACATATTCAAGTGCTCTGTGTGGTGAAACAAAAGAGAATTGGTTCTAGTACTTGGCCGGCCGCTGCCGCAGCACGCTCGCTTCGCTCGCTCGGCTCGTGCATTGTTGGTCGCAGTTCTAACCTAACCTAACCGAGTCTTTCAATTCACCTTAACTTCGTTCAGTACTTTGAAATTTTGCAAATGTGTATTCATTCATATTTCTGTTGCTATACTTATCACAAAATTTGTATTTATTTCAGGCAAGTTCAAGACCAAGGTTTCGCCAAAAGATATGCAAGCGGAATACAGTATAATAAAGAGGTTGTTCGTTGGCACTTAGTTTTCTTGAGAAATCTGAAATATACGTATATTTCAGTAGTATCGTAAAAAGTTTTAAAGGTCCAGATTGGCAACAATTAGCTCATTGGTATGTACACGAAACATCAACCACACAACCTATAACCAATATCAGCCCAGATTTTGATGATTCATGATACATTGTTAACAGAAACTTGGTATTGCTTGGTTATTTGGTATACAAAAGGTATAGCCAAAAAGATTTTATTACAAGTTTATGCATACTAAACGGAAAGACTTTTTTCCGAACCTAATATTAAAAATGGCCTTCTTACCTATTCAAAACATGCGATAGCGATAATCTCACTAATTCAGTATAATAAAGGTAAACATATTTCGACACACAAAAAAGCCCTATAGATAATGATGATGAAATTTAGAACAAAAGCGTTGAAACTATCTGTAGAAGACAGTTGTGCCAGCCTCTTCAGAAACAGTGTTTGCATATATTTTTTAATTTGAATTTTTATGATAATTACCTTTTTTTGTTTGTTGTTCTCACTATCTTGTGTGTTTTTGAGATCGTCGAGTTATTTTAAAAATACCGTTTACTTTTATATATTTTTAATTCAATTTACTACAGTCCACGCTCTTTTATCGATATCACTATTGAAGTATTGAAGTACTATTACTACTGAAGTACTAGTACTATTGAAATACTAAGGGATCGAACTTAAGACACCGCTTCTAAGTATTATTTATGTAACGTAGAGACCGACAATAATTACTATAAAAACAAGAAAAAACAATGTTTATCTTAAAAAAGATAATTTAAAAACAGATTCTAAAGGATCTAAGGATTTTATTATTACTACACATACACTTACCACCGCGTACTTCACAGACGAGAACTAGTGCCGCACCCTCTTCTAAAGGTCCCACCACACCTGACACGTCAGCACCAGATTTGTCGTAAAGTAACATTTGATGCGGTGGCACTGAAACAAAATAGTTCGCTTAATTCAATACGGCAAGACTCATATTACAGTACGCCACAGGTGTGCCTGATATAACAACGATCAATAAAGCTAACCGAAAATAGAATATAAAGGAATTATGTTATTCTATAAGATATATAGCTTTAAATATTACTTTAACATATAATAAAAAGATTAAAAGCAAATTAGAAAAAGTGTTGATAATTAGTTATCATAAAAAGTACCAATATAATATAGGATATATTCTTAATAATTCATTACAACTCTTTGTTGGAATCATATACTTCAATAGATTGTATTATATTTTTAATATTTTGATAAGTGAAATATACGATAAACTTGTCAAAATGCGATAGTTTTTTATATTTGAACATTTCGTTTACCTGAAACCTTTTTTCATCACAGACAGTTGTTTTCGTAACAATCAAAACAAAAGTTTACTAGACTATCTCTCTAAGCCATTTTTTCGGTAATTGAATATTTCACGATGTTATGGATCCCGATTACGCGTATGAGAACTCTTTGTGCAGACCGTCCCTTTGCTAACAAAAGGCTCATAGTAAATTACCCCTCTGAGTGAGCAACGTAATGGATTTCAATGGAGCTGCATATATGCGATGTAGGCTCATTTTCAAATGCTTTGTTCTGAGCGAAAAAATTTACTTCTTCCATCTCTTTTTCTTGAGTCGCGTCGCTCTGAATGGAGTAATTTTGTTGAATAGCACTCAGTGATAGTTGGCTCTTTAATAGTAGATTTAGATTTTATATTGTCCTTAAATATAAAGAATATTAATAAAAGATATCACAATAATTTATTTGATTTTATTAAAAAGGCCGTTTTTTTATACTAAGCCATGACCCAATAATGACTTAATGTCTATATAATAATGTCATAAATGTACAAATTATACAATAATTACCGCTGGCTCAAGAATGCAAATGCAGTGCTTCTACGCAAAATTTTCAGTTAATATGAAATTGGTGAACTGTAACTATAAAACGAATTGTCAAAAAAAGTGCACGCGTTTTAATGTGAATGAGACCTTACCGACTAGAACAGTATCCGAATTTAAAATGTAAACTTTCGACCACCAAAATGTCTCACCAATAAATCCGAGCAAAACAAATGAAATTACCCGCATCTGATAGCTTTGGCCATTTGATTTATTCAAATCTAATTTCCTTTTAAATTTGACCTGTCTCGTGCAGATTTTATCTGTGTCATCGCGGAGGCACCGTTTTTATCAGCACTGGTGAGCAGGATAGTCGACAGTTCATAATTAAAATGTCGCTCGATGTCATTCCTCGGGAGTCTGGTGAGGCCACGATTCATCTGTAATGACTAAATTGATTCCCTGTCGCCGCCTCATAAAATTTCCATTTAAGATAGAAACTTTTGTGATCCGGTTTTACGAGCGCTTTTGTTTTCCCTCCAGCAAACAGGAGCTTGATACACAGATCTTTTCTTTACTTTTTGTTTACGTGTTCTTTATTCTTGGTCACAATTATATAATGCTTCTATTTCAGTTTAAGTCTTAACAGCGGTACATGTTATTTTCACTTCAATATAAATATAAAAGTATGATAATAAATATAAAAAAAATGTCGTACAAGTCATTTATCGAAATTGAAAATTATAATTAACTTGCTGTTTTCCCGCGAATTCGCCCACGTAATTTTCTTCAATCACGTTCAATTTGATCGCGTATGATATAGCTTACCGTGAAAAAATGACGAAAATTGGTCCATTAGTTTCGGAACTTATTCTATGCAAACAAAAATCATACTTCCTCTTAATAATATTAGTACAATAAAAAATACCTACAAATAATTTATTCGAACAGGGACCGTCAATAATATCTGCATCACATTCGGTAGACTTTTTCTGATGTAGGTATATGTATATGAAAAGATTATTTTATACCTAACAACAATATCTTACCAATAACAGTGAGTCGTATCTGAAAGTTTCTCGTTGGTGAGTTCTTGAAGTCCACTCTACACCGGTAGACGCCTTCGTCGTCGAGCTGCACTGAGCTGAGAGTCAACGCCGCGGGCCTGGCTACTGTAGCGAAATATGCTCTCGGTCCAAATGCTCCTGGGTCAGACCACTGAAGCGCTTTGTTGAATGACCTCCCTCGAACATCGAAACTAGTAGCAGAAAAAGATGAAAATATATATACACATAGTTGCACGTCATATTTAACATTATGTAAAATTTCCTAACTTGATTTTGACCCCTTATCACATTGTCTTAAGGGCAAAAATAAAGTAAATAAATTTTACAGTTTTGTATAACTAGACGTTCTGATTCCTACATAACGTAGTATAAAAGTTGCATTAAAAATATCAGCATGATCAAACCTAAAAACTTTTTTGTAGTTAAATTCGCTATACAGTATAACGTAGTTTGTTTCGCCCATTGAGACAGGCGAAAGAATCCGCTGTACATATACAAATCTTATAAAAATTCGGCTTAGCCGACTTAATTTCATATAGGTATAACCAAGTTCACAGCTGTAGAGCCGTGTATAAGTATATATCATTTTCAATAGCCACATAGTAGCTTTGAAGGAAAAACTAATCGATCTTTTTCATAAATTTGATATTTTTATATAATGGTAGCAATTCTGGTGCATAAACTAGTCTTGACTTAGTTTCATTACTGTCGAAATGCGTTTTTAATTCTATACATACTTTACACGTGAATCAGAACAGAGCGTTGAATCAAATCGATATATTTTTTAGTTCATTTTAGAGAGTGGTACAATAGAATTGGCACAAAGAATGTAAGTTTGTAATATACCTAATGAATATATTTTTTGCTGTATGCGAATCCACGCAGTTTATAATTTAAAGAAAAACAAAGAAATGAACCCCATACATGCATGAATTTGTATTTTTGTGTGCCTGCGCTAAGATTACAAGCATTTTTATCTATATTAATTATCCTCTTAAATTACACTTTGCATCATAAAACAAAAACACTTTTACATTTTCATTTTTATTTCCAAATCAACAGTCAGAACAGTTAAAAAGAGCAGTATTTTTATAAAATAAATTGCCATAAAACAAATATTATAAATTCACACAAAAACTCATTATGTACCCTTAATATCTTACTCTTCGTATATAAAAATGAAAGTGAATGGCTTGGGTAGCTCGTTACTACAAAAAGTTTTTCCGCGAATGTATATAGCTTAGTATATTGAACTATACATGCAAAAAATATTCTGTCATGTTTTTCCCACGTTATTAAAGTATAATAAAAGATGTATGAAGCTATATCTACTTAATTAAAGTTAAGGGATGTATCTATTTCAAATTGTATCCAAAACATTTTGGGTTGATTGTAATGTCATTAGACTAAATTGAACGAGTCTGAATTACGTGTGTGTGTAATTAAAACGTTTCGCGAAACCATCACATGGTTGTTTCATGAAAACATGTTCGAGACCCGTACGTATTTTCCACGTTACATATGTATTGTATCGGGATTTCAATTTAAATTTAGTAATTTAGTTTTAGAGTATTTCATTTTCTCGTAACTAATAGATAAAAAGTCGTCCTACTAGAAAGACATTAAGAAGTGATTTTATTTTAGTTACACCAAAGAATTTTCTTATTATATACTAGCTGGTTTTGTAACTTTCCGAATGTGTAGAAATTTATATGATCAGAGCAGTATTTCCAACGATTACACCTTACAGACAAACAGAGTTAAAAACTTTTCCTAAATATAATATTAGTATAGTATACTAAGTACAAGAGAAACTCTGCGGTACTGATAATTTACCCGCACCTAATTGGTTGACGCGTCGCGTCGTGAGTTTTGTGATCCACTAACTAGCACTTGTATTTGCATGCATAACTCTTAAAAACTTTTCAAGTAATATTTTTTATTTTATTTATAAATCCCTTAATAAATATACGTTTGAGTAAAACAACTAATGGTTTAATCGACTCTCGTACCGCGGAGTAGTCCGACATTTTTTTTTATTAAGTCCACCTCTTGCACTGGTATACATAATCCTACCCTAAAAACTTTTTGTGAAAAAAATCAAATTATAGAATAAAGAACCCGACAGAAGTTTTTCAATTTCCGGTCAAACCAGCTTTACTCAATATTCCAACGTACACTCCAATTTATACAGAGAGTAGCTTTGTTAGAAGATTTTGATTGTGCACCTTGCTGTTTTCAGATTGATTTTATAAGAAAACTCGAACAGTGATCAGCTTTATTATCCAAGTTAATTAGTTTGATTTTTTAATGTATCCTGCCTTTTCGTTGGCAATTATTACTTGCCAACTTAAGTTTCAACTACGTGTCACTTGGACAACTAATAATTAGCGAAGTTTTATATGATAACGTTTTATTTGGTAGAATTATTTCGATTATATTATAGTTAAGTTGATTATTATAATAACAAAATTTTATGATTTGTCAAATTTTTCACAGGGCTACACATTTAAGACGAATGAATGATGTTTTATCCCTTTTAATATATTGATAAAAAAACCTATTTTAAATGCATTTTTTTATTTATGAATGTCACAAATAAAATAAAGACTTTAAATTTACAGCTATGCACACGGGTAATTTTCACGAAATCCCGAAATTCGGCTATTTTAAAATGACAAAAAATATTTAAGTTATTTGATATATCTTTAATGTGAATTTGATAGTACTAATGTTACTAGAATTAAATTACGTAGTGGTCCCAAAAATTATCACGTTTTATGAAGGTTATGAGGACATTAAAAATAATCAAAGTGAGGGAATGACAATTAAGGCGAGGGAATGATTATTTCAGACAAGTCATGTAGCTTTTTAATGAAATTAGTTCTTTTTTTCAAAGAAATCTTTTTATTCAATGCAATTTTGTTTGTAAACAATAAGTTAAATCAATGAGTAATTCCAGCAAATCACAAAATTATTCCAGCACTTTGGCATAACTCAAATTTAAAGTTATTTTTATTTATTATTGCACTTGATTAAATAACAATGACAACAAAATCCTTGCTGACTTAAAGATTCATCTAACAGCATTTTAACAACAGAAAAATTTCCTTTTTAAATCTTTAGTATCAAAACAACATATAGGTATACTTAATTGGCTTTTTTCCTAACAAAAAATAATTCTTAAAATTTATAATCTTAAATGATTCAGTCTCAAAGTTACAATTAAAGTCTTAATCAGATATTTTAAACTAGTTTAAATCTTTTATAAAATAACAACCCTTCTTGATTAATTTTGGGGGCTTAATCTTCTTTAGAATGTCATTCCAGGCATATAACTGTTCATCTCGGATTTTAGGCCATTTCCAAGACTTAGTTCCTCTTTTCATACACTTTACTAAAGCACCTTCCTCAGAAACTGATATTATTTCCCCTGGGTAAATATTTTCGTCCCATTTGATAAGTACATAATCACCAATATTATAAGTAATATTAGTGTCCGTACAAATACTCGTAATATCATTTGATGAATGTCCATCATGATAAGCTTTATTTCGTGTTTTTAATTCAATGGACCTTGGTTTTTCAATGCAACCTTTTGTAGATTTACAAAATCCCATGTGAAAATGTTTACACTTTTCTGCGCATTGACAACATGAAAGACTTCTAAATTCCAAGGCATTATTACTGAAGACAAATTGACGAATTTTCTGAGTGCCACGAAATGCAGCAATGATGGTTGACTGTTTGACTAAGTCTTCTATTTTCGCAATATTAGCAGTGGTAACTTCAAATAGCTTTATTGAAGAACATCTTATCAACAAAATTTCTTTGAGAGATTTCAGATTTACGATGTCCTTGCCTTCAGCCACCGCTTTATCAGCTGTTCTTTTTGATGTGCCACCTACGCCATCAGGAGCACCTTTGCCATGGCCTGGTTCTGAATAATTCCACGCAAAAAATGTCGCACCCAGAAACAAATCATTTATATGATGATATACTAGATGAAACATGAACTTGTTCTTGTACTGGTTGACAGGACTATCACTTAGCATGTGTATTCTGTGAATATTTGGATTGTGATTTTTAAGCCACTCAAAAACTGGTAATAGGTGTGCCCATACTGGCATTGTATCGTGTCTATTATTATCAGAAAGAGAACAAAACGTGTAGGATTTTACAGTGTCATTTTCACGTAAATATAATACTCCTGTATGTAGTGTAACTTGTTGTCTTGCACCTCCAAAATGTACTGCCTGGATCTCTTCGTTATATTTGCAACAATAGTTTTCGCTAAAATCTATGTGAATAAGGACTTCATTGTAAGCTAAAGTCTTTTTAAGTTCTGATATGGTCTGATACTGGTGTGCTATCCTGTCTTTTAGCTGTTTAGTTGATAGAAGAATCTTCTTCTTCACAATTTTAGGAACTCCGACGTTCTTTAAGAGAGCTGATACTTTGGCTTCCGGTGAGGTCTGATTATTTTTGTTTTGTTTTTGACATCTATTACGGTATTTCTCTTTTCTTCTTATTTCTTGTTTCAGTCTTTCCTGTAATCTGGATATTTTTGCATAAAGTATTCCTCTACGTCTTCTTAGGTGCTGCCTTCTCCGATTAACTGTCAGATTTCTTAAATCATCATTATGTTGGATAGGTCCTGGGCTAGGAGGTGGTGTCTCATCTAACAGTCTTGCAAAATTTTTTCGCACCTTCACTGTTTTGTCTCTATATGTTTGGCTATTTTTCTTCCAGTTTTTTCTTTTTTGCCTTCTTTCTCGAGAACTCATTGCGGATATAGGTTTTACTTGACCTTTTTTTTTTTATTTAGGTATTTAATTCTTTCTTTTTCACGAAGTATTTCAAGTGTTACAGGATCAGCTTTCATTTTTTGCCTGCGCTTTCGGTCATATTCTTGCTTTTTTAATTTAGCTTCATCTTTGCATATCTTCTTTTTTCTTGACATTTTTAACCTGCAACAATATTGCAACAATAAACAATCATAAATAAACGACAATAAATAAAAGCAAACAATAAAAAAGCCAGTCAGCCTACCCAAAAATCATTTCCTCATATATCATCATTCCCTCACCATAAATTTTTATGTGGGAATGATGGTGAGGGAATGATGAAATAAAGAATAACTGTTAAGGACTCGTGACATAACCTTACTTTAAAAACGATTTTTTTGCTTAAGGAAATTACCCCCAAAAGCCATTTTATCTGTGCAACTTATAACCAATTTAAGTACTTACCTTTTGTTTTTTAGAATGTGATGAAATGACGATCAAAAATTTAATTTAACCATATAATTAATAAAACCTTTTCGTAGCGCACACCCGAACACAATCACAGAAAATACGCCAGTTTGACAAATTAACATTAGTGCCAACTTTCAGAAACGAATGGTAGCGTTCGTATTTTATTTAAAATGCGTTAGTAATTCAACTGTCGGTAATAGTGTGAGGGAATGATTTATTTTTGTGAGACACATATAAATATTCAAATTTTTAACGCGTCTTTTACTTTATGACGCTAATATCGATTTTTTCCATAAATTTATAATATTTAAAAAAATCCGACTTGCTTGAATATGATTCGAATGATTTTTGTACGTTTTTGGTAAATAAAAGTAAATAAAATTGGTACATGGGACATAGTGAGGTAATGATATTAGATACATTATGGTTATGCATTTTTATTTATTTATTTATGCGGCTCTAAAATCTTATGTGATACTTTTAGATAGAGTTGTGTGGATTGTATAAAAATATTAGTAACATCCATTTCTTTGTTGGATTTTTATATAATCTAAAAGGACAAGAATTTCGGAATTTCGTGAGAATTACCCACACATTTTTTTCTCTAAGTATGTAAATTTGTGTTCAAAAAGTTTGAAATAAGAATAGCAACAGAAATATATGTATAGGGGTTAAATAACATATAGATTAGGTTTGGTTTGAGTATGACAAACAACATACAGAAAAAAGAAACGGTTGGTTAATTTAGTTATCAGTTATCACAGTAAAGATAAGGTATGATGGCAAATAAAGAGAGGAAGAGCGTGTTAAAAACGCTAATTACGCTGATTAAACATTAAACTACTTTAAAGATGGCATATAACAGTGAGGTTGGGAAACAAAACTAAATTAGAAGATAAATTGGTAAATCACAAATCGGCGACATAAAATTATGCAAAACATGAGTTGGCAAGTGATAATCGGTCAAACAATTTTCGGCGAAAAGGCAGGGAACCATAAATTGTACTTAATAAATAACACATGAATTTTACACACTCTACCACGAAAATCATTACAATGCATTACAGTCTGCCATTTGTATTACCAGGAACTCTTTACTAGCTTTGTTAATAACACTTTTTTTAAATTGACTTAACAACGTTACGTTATTTACTCTATTTTCTAAGTTTTTTTTATTATTCTCATAGTACACGCTAATTTCATTCATCAGTGTAATTTACTAGCTAACAAAGATAAAATTTAAATAAATTAGTAATCTTCAAATGATAGGAATAGCTAAAAATTCACAATTCTATCTTTTCAAGCTTTTATTCAGTTCGCACGAAAAATTTACACTCGAGAAAATAATCAAATTTTCTGTGTTTATTGCCTAAAAAAGAAGAAAGATGAAGTTAATTTTGTATCTTACTTGTCGTTTTCAATATTAAATTAAAAATTTACTGATGGGTATTTGAATTTGATTTGAAAACCCAACAGGAAAATATTAATAAACTATGCTGTTATTCAGTATTCTATTTAAGTATAATTCTTACGCCCAGTTATTAGTTTAAAGCGACATTACCGACAGAAATTTTCAAATTTAGAACATTTGTTAAAGTCGTCATTAAACCTTAACTGATACCTGTGCAACAGATCGTTATTTACTTTCACCAGTAAAGCAATTGATGGTCATTGGTGGCTAATATATAACTCGTTTACATTATAAACTCTCTAGAAAAATGGAATAAATAAATAATTTGAAATTTATAAAACACGACTGCCAAAACCTTAATAATAAAATAAACTTATGGCTCGGTTGTAAATTCTCAATGTAATAAGGTTAGATAAGATTAGATAATTTTGCTTAGCCAAGTCATAACGCAACTTGTTTATTTCATTTTCAGTAGTCGTGTTATATATATTTATTTTTAAATTATATATTCCATGAATGTATATAATTAAATGTGCATCCTTAATAGAGCTTCCTTACTTTCTCAAGATTTGTTCATCAGTTTGAAGTAAACAAATTATCAATTACTTCGTTTAACTTTGGTCCATAAAGACAAGTGTGATTCCTTAACGAGCACTCCTGAAATCTTAAGTGTGTTTCGCTGTATGAGCTTCTAAATTCTAATTAGATCACTCGACTTCCGCTGATCCGTTTAAGGTGCCTCACAGTTCATTAGATGCGACTTAAGCTTAGAGTTGAAATGGAATAGTTAAAGGAGAAATTTGTTAAAAAATACGAAATCTTATAATCTTTACTGTTTACCTTTGCACGGCAGAGTTTGTTAAAAAATAAATAATCTTGTTTAATTTACTCTTTTTAATAAGAATGATAAAAAAATGGTTTAGTTACACATAACTCTGTTTACGTTATATTAATGTGACTGTTGGTTCGAGTGTAAAAGGCAAAATAAATAGACAAACACAACGTTTCTTATTAGTAAGGCCTTTAACTTTTAGTAGTTAATAAAATACTTATGTAGGAAATTATTTATATTAGAAAAAAAATTGCCAAGAAAATATGCGTCGTACTCGCGCACAAAAACGAAGGTTTACGAAAACGCGTTTGTGGTGTGTGAGCCCACTTTAGTATTTATTTTATTATGTTTTTTAGTATTTCTTGTTTAAGCAGCAACAGAAATACATCATTTATGAAATGTTCAACTGGCTAATTATCATGATTAATGAGATAGAGACGGGTTAAGGACCTTCGGATTTCACAGTCTTTGACTAATAGGGATTCCGTTTTTACCCTTAGGGTACGCAACCCTAAACAATTTTTTTATTTATTTTATTAATTATTTCTAAATAGAATGATATCTTTATTATAATGCGAAGATAAAAATGTTGTATTTTACAAATTCTTTACCAACCTGTATATGGGTTTACCCCCACTCTTCCTGAACCACAATACCATATAGACCCTGTCTTCGTTCGTATCTGGTGTGACGTCACAAGGCAAAGATGCTGTTCGCCCAAGCACCGCATCCACGTCCACTGTTGACACTGAAAAAATGAAAGTCTTTGTTAGGTAAATAATTAAATTGAAATAAAACTGAAACATTTTTCTTCATTTATATATTTTTTCAGACTAAATTACCAATTACTTCATAAGTTTTGTGCCTTTTGTACTGTATGGTCTTGCACCACACACCTAACTTGATAGATGATAAAAACCACTGCTTGATTTGAATAGATTTATTGTACACATTATACTTTACAATAATGGTTTGATAAATTCACACTTGAGTAAGTAGGTGATTGAGACGCGCAGCCGACTTGTTAGGCAATAGCGAACTAAAAAGAAATATTAATACTTAATTGTCGTGTGACGTAAATGCTGACGCGGAGGAATGTTCGGTGTTAAACCGTACATGTACAATCTACTTTATATTTTGAGTATACGAATTATAAAACGCAATCCTACACATAGATTCATAGAGCAGACTTTATATATTTTTTACATCTCAAGTTTTTATAATATCCCAAAACTGCTTGAATAAAACAAGTGGATTCTTCACCCGAAACTTTGTTTCGCTTTATGACGAAAACAAAACAATACAATGCCACAGTTAACCTTAAAACTCACATATCTCGAGAATAATGAAATTTTAAAGTTGCACCACTATTCTCTACTTCCCTCTGTCTCTTTATTATTCATGAAAGCAGACAAGGAAAATAATATAAACCACAATACAGTTCCCACTCACAATCCGTCCTATTAAATGGACCGAAGTGGCGAAGTAATAGAAGAATTAAAAACGCCACAAGACGAGGGAAATTTAATAAATTCTGATCTCTATCCGGTTCATTATGCGATTTGGAGACGGATGACAGTACCGGGGTCAGTCCATTTACATTTAGAATTTATCCAAAAAGGGGACGTTAAATAAAATTTATTACGCCCTAGACAAAAAAAAAATAACTTCGAGCATAAGACACTTTTCTACGGTTATAATAAAATAAGGAAGAAAAAATGTAGGCAAAGGGATCCCTAGTGTAATACATTTATTCATTACGAAAGTAATTTAATGAAAAACCTGGTGAAGTGCCGTCGAAATATTTTAAGACATGTTCTGTATAAAAATTTAAACATATCACCTAACAATTTGTAGTTAGAATATACTCGTATGTGCATACTATAGTTACTCTAACAACACTTGAACGAAAATTAAATTAATTAGGATTATTATGTGTGCCATCTTTTCAAGTAAGTAATTTTTACGACTTATCTTTTAATTAATAAAACCAAAAACTTTGAGTTGATAAAATTTGCTAATTCATTACTTCCTTTATTCCTTCTCGAATGCGAAACTTGCGAACTAGCAACATTTAATTTCAATATATTAACGGGTCACTTAATTAAACTCACACGGAATCTGCTTAAAAGATAATGGTAATTTATATGGTATCTCTCCTTGAGTATACGAATAAATATAAATAATGGTATAAAAAAAAATATTTGAACAAAAATTTTAACAGCATAACACTGTACGTTAATAGCTCGTGCTTAAAAAAGTGCAAGTATTAACTTATAGTTATAAAATAATATTACGTTCCTTATTGTATTCTACAATTGTCAAATGTAGTAAATTAATAATTGATAGTATGTCATATCCTACTTGCCATTAAATGAGTTGAAGTCTTCGGTCTTTTCTGAGCAGTGCTATATACGTGAATTTGAGGGTATCTGAATAATAAATAAATATACTTCAGTCTCGTATTGCGTCTATTCTTAATAACATTTTTATATAAAGGGTCCACAATATTTTTTTATAATTTATTTTATTTCTTTAGTTTACAATTTTAAAACACAAGAGCGCCCACTCTTAGTAACAACATAGAACGCAACGTTCGAGTTTCATAGCCCACGCACTTACCATCTTTTTTGTGCTCTCTTTCATTATTTTCAAGAAATTTAAATAGATATTCCGCAGTTTTACCCTCTCTAACTCATATCATAATTTATATAACAAAGCTTTTAGTTACAATCTCTCTGTCAACAACCACTTCAACTAGTAATAGCAAACTTTTTTACAATTTTTTTCTGGTCTGTATTTTCATACTTAAGAAACAACAATAGCATTATGCCACCGACCCCTAAACAGAATGCTGAATCCGGAAGAGGCTGACTGGCTCAACTACCTCAGTTGAGGGCCGACATTTATCTCGACCGAGTTAATTAGGACTCTTTGAGTTCCTTTTATTATACACGCTCACTAACAGTTAAAGGTGACGATTGTAACAATGTGTTTTGGTACGTAATATTTTAATTAATTGTGTTTATGTATAATTATGAGAGTTGTGCTGGTTTGAGTGTAAATAAAATATATGATTAATAAAAAGTGACTCCACTGTTATATTTATTGCAATAGGACAGAATAACTCTTTGTTGTCAACACCACGTATACAAAGTTTTTTCACGAATATTAATATTACAGTGTAATAATTGGCGGTCTTATCGCTTAGAGCGATATCTACTAGACAACCATTGGATGGAGAGAACTAATTGACAATAAGAAAATGGGGTGGAAACTAAAATAATTCTGTGGATATAATATAAAACAGATTGTATTTAAAATTCAAAACATTTGAAAAAAGTTTATTTACATTTATCTAAAGTATGTTGGTACCATTTTGTTCGATAACTTTTTGGCATCTTGTAGATAGGGACATGATCTCACTGCTATAGAAATTTTGGGGTTTCTGATAAAAAGAAAACCGTGATTTTGGCAGTCTTTGCGTGATGTTTAGGTGACACTGCCTAAATAAAGCTAAAGAAACCGAAACAAGTGGAAATCTGAAAATGCAAATGGGCAGGTCAGAAATATACGGCAGATGCATAGACTCACCACAGAATGTGTAGCCTAGCCTGATCGACCTTTAATCAATTTTTTGCACGTTCATGTCATACGTAAAATACATTTTATCACCAGTTATCAGCTTCTTCAATAATGGTTCGATTTCATTACGCCGTAATAAAGAATCACAAATGTGTACACGATTCATTAGTTTGTAATTATTGTACGATATATAACTCATTTTGATAGTAAGAAAAACAAATGAAAGTCACACATTATTCTAATTTGAATTAAGTAAAATTTTGCTTGCAATGTTTGATTACAGAAAAACAAACCTCGAAGAGGAGTGTTAAGAGGAGTTTGTAAAAAGAAAGAAAAGGGAAAATGTATAAAAAGGATCGGAAAAGGTTTTTTTGTGTTTATTTTTATAAGTGTGGCTTCGTAATTGAATCAATCAATATTTATGACATATTTCTAATAGTACCAAATATACTAACTTATACTAACATCATATACTAAATTTAGAACATCACTGGAACTAGAAAATATATAAATAAAATTAGAAACAACTTCGGAATTTGTGATCATACATAAGCAAGATACAAAATTCCAAACCGAATAAAACAAGTCAGAACTCAATTTCAGTGACAAAGGGCTCTAAGCATCGCCATTCAGTGGAAGCACTATTGTGAAGAATTCATCTTGATTCCGCCACGAATTTATACTGAAACGTGTTTGGAAAAAAATACACTCTCTAGGAAGAGTAAATCTCAACACGAAACAAAATATAATGTGCTAATGTAATTTTTCATCGCATTGGTATATATTTTGAAATCTATTGTTCTAAAATATATCGTACTTAAAATAAAATAACAATCACCTCGAGTTAAGCTCGAAGGTTTTTCATCATCATCATCAGCCTATTGGAGTCCCTGCTGCTGGAGCTTAAGCCTTTCTTTCTGAATATAAACACACACTGGACATAGATTTCTTTTTATTTTTATTTTCTGTGTAGTGCAAAAAAGTGCCAAATAGATAAACCGCCGCGTGGACACAGTGCTCTTTAAAATTTGGTCACCCGTTCTATGACAGACCTTCACGAAGGTTGCTTAACTTTTGATATTATAGACCGAACGCACCAGCCACTGTGCTTATGAGCTCCCTATGCTCCAATATTGTTTATTGACATACAAATGACAAAAAAATGAAATCCTCCTGTTCCGAAATATTAGATATTTAATTAAAACACCAAATGGATTCAGATATGTTAGCCATTAAACTATAGTTCCCCTTTTTAGGGTTCCGTACCAAAGGGTAAAATGGGAACCCTATTACTAAAACTTCTGTCTGTCTGTCACCAGGCTGTATATCAGTACAGACAAAAAATAAGTATAAAAACCTTAATTGAATAAGAAAAACCTCGATGTCCAAAAACCAAAATAGCCTCCCATGTTTTGTTTTCATTAGCATATTTAATCTAATAAGGCAATAAAAGGAAATAGGTTTTGTTATCTTCTTCATAATTTCGAGTACGCCAGAGACCTATTCAGAAATTAGGAAATTAATCTTGGTTAGAGTCATTTGCGAGTACAAAATCTAATTTCAAACGATTGAAGTGTGAAGAAACTATAATTATTATATAAAATGTTTTCTTAGGTTTAGTTTATCACAATGACACAACCAGTCCTTTTTAAATTATTTTAAGTATTAAATGTTGTAATATTCGTGTAACAATTACATCAAAGGAGGTATATTATGAGCATGATAATTTTATCTATATCTAAACTAATAATAAAGCTGAAGAGTTTGTTTATTTATTTGATTGAACTCTAACATCTCAGGAACTACTGAAACTGATTGTATTTTTTTTTTTGTCGAATGGTCCATTTATCGAGAAAGGCTATTACATATAATATAGGCAATATAACACCACGCTATGGCTTATAGGAGTCGAGCAGCAATGAAAACGCGAGAATATCTTACTTTTTTAAAGCTTTCCTCGCGTGCCTTGCGTAAATAGTGAAAGTTACGCAAAAATCGTGTATAAAGAAATCGATCCCCTTTATTTTTTCCAAAAAAAAAGTCCACGGCAGTATGTCAATCTTAAATCGTATCCCGAAAAACACATGGGATGAAAATGGCAGTGGAAGTTCCAATGGGAGTGCATGAAATCGTTACTATAGAAACCGTTATTTAAAATTTAAT